TTTTTTTTTTTTTTTTTGCTCCCCTCCCCTTCTCCCTTGTTGTTTCATTCTGTCTCTTTTTAGTCCTTTAGGAAATCTTCCTGTGTATCCTCTTCATCATAGTGCCTCTTTCTTAGCTTCCCAAATTTCAGATGGGATATTTAGCAAGGAGTTTTCCTTCAGATTTTGCTTTTCTTCCTCTGCAATTTACTCTTTACTTCATCTGTGAACATTTCTCTCTGTTACCTCTGCATGAACTCAGATTTGACTCTCCCAGCCTGCTTCCTTCTGAGGCATAGTCAGATGTTTCCATGTTTTCATGTTTTGTTTTTCTTTCTCTTTTTTTTTTTCCCACTGTTTAAGCTCTGTATGGATCCCAAACCCACACTGAACTTTCTTTTCAAACCTGTTGATTTTCACCCGCTTTTTCTAGATCACTTTGAAGAATATCACTGTCTGTCACTGAGACCTGCAGTGTCAACATTGTCTGACCAGGGTGCCTTTGTCTGTAAATTAAATGAAAATCTAGTAGAAAATGGTCTCCTACCATTCCCATAGCGGCTGATTTGCAGAATGCTGAGGACACTGCAGGGGCAATAATTTTTGTTTATATATAACCTGAAGTGGAATTTATGAGCTTGAAAGTGCTGGGAGAAAAGATATTTTTCTRTTTAAATAATTATATTGAGTTCTTTGAAGGCTTTTGTTGACATAGTTCTTAAAGTACAATTTGTACTTAACAAGTACAGTTTGTACTATTTCAGTAGTAGTGCAGACAACTTTTCATCCTGGTTCCTTTACTAAACTATATAGAGGTTGTAATTCTAGTGAATGCCATGAGATGTCACTGTGACTTAAAACTGGTCTTTTGCAAGTGAAACTGAAGTAATTTTGTGGATTCCCTATTTAAGTGTATTWTTTTGTCAGAATGGCAAAGAAGCATGGTATGAAATTGGTCTACAAAATGACATTTCGGGAATTCTATGAAGAAAAAATCAAGAATGAGGAACACAAAATGCTGCTAAGGAGAATGCAGGCCTTGGAGGTAAATACAGGATGAATTTATTGCATTTATTGCATTTTGCTGATTATTTGTGCAACACTTGAAATTCTTGTTATGAATGTTCTTCAGTTAATTAACGACTACAAATAAAAATACTAAAGTTCTGTGACTGAAAGCACAAGTTAGATTTATAGGTAAAATTTCAGCTTTAAGGAAGATATTTTCATTTTTATTAATTAGTAGGCAGAAGAGCTCATTTTTTCATTTTTATTTGGCCACATATATTTGCTTCTGTTTTATATGGAATCTCAAGAATCATTTCTGATGTTACATAGTGATAACTGTAATTCATTTCATTCTCATCAGAGAGAGACTGAAACTGGATCTTTGTACAAGAAATAATGATTGGAAAGAAACTAATGAGTAAAAAAAAAAAAGGCTGTATTCATATAAGAAAATGCCAATTAATTGCAACTGAACATATCTTTTTGCCTCATGTCTTGTGCTGGATGACTTTAGCAGGTTTATAGAAGCTTTCCAGTAACACTTGTGAGATTTTTTTTCTTGTTTTCTTTTCTCCCTCCTTCCTTCCTGCCTCAAAAATTAGGAGTTTTTGACATAAATCTATCTAGTTGAATATCTGTTGCCATATTAAATGTTTGTCATGTGGGCTGCGAATGGACTTTGAAATCCTTTTTGACTCTGAAAACAAACACAGTACTCTATATGGGCTCRTGTTATGCTGTGTCACTGTGCTACTGCTATCAGCTTGTTAGAAAAGTGAGAATTGTTTTAAGTTAGTGGCCAGTTACTTTTGAGAACTGTGGTGGTAAGTACAGACTGTTCTGCTCGGAGGTCTTGTATGTAGTCTTGAATCAGATGCATACTTCTGTTTGTAGCTCCAGTGTCTCATTTAGACATTCCAAGCATTCTGCTTGAAATCTGGCAGTTGTGTAAGATTGAGTTTTCTGTATTTCTGCTGAAGAGGTGTCATTGTGCTCAGTTGCTGTTCTAGAAGAGTTACATGAACATAACACAAATGATGAGCTCTGTAAGGAGAAGAATTTTTCTAGCTTATTCCATCTATTCAGTTTCAGAGACATAATTAGAACTTAATTGATAAACCACAAGTGCCATATTTTGTGGGAACCGAGTAATATCATACCCAATCATACAAGTCTTAYAAGGAAGTTGGTAAGCTTAGATGTCTCCTTTAAAGCTCTGACTTTCATTTTTGTCCAAATTTGATAAATCTTTGATTTGTCTTTATTTGATAAAGATTTGATAAATCTTTGATTGATAAGGTCGGTGTATCTTAATATCTAATCAGTACTGTATATTTTTTTTCCTATGTTCCTCAGCCATATTCTGCCTTCGATGATTCCAGGCTTGTTTCTGATAAACCTGATGATTATGAGCATGCAAAAGAGTTTATCAAGGATGGCAAGGGAAAGTTACCATTGGTAAGTTCCTTCTTACTACAGTTGAATAAAGTGTGCTTAAGATTTAGGTCCTAATCTTGCAAATGTTTGATATCTTCTTATTTCAGGTACAAAATGCAGTTGATGTGATTGTCTCTCTGTGTATGTGAAAAATTACACAACTGCAAGGGTACAGAGTTCATCTGATCTGTACCACTTTCTCAAAGAATCCCATTCACTAAGTTGTTCACAGTCCAGAGGCTTGTAATGATGTAAAAGGATGTTTTGCCATCTTATTGGCAACTGCTGTATTGCTCCTTAATTTGGAATACTTTTTTTAGTTTCTGAATCTTTGCACATACTTAAAAGATTTTATTTTCTTCTTTTTCTATTCTCTTCTTCTTCTTCTTCTCTTCTTCTTTCTCTTCTCTTTCTTTGACATAGAGATCAGTAGAAAATTTTCTTCATAATGGTGTGTGTATTCAAAATCTGGAAGTCTTTTTATGTGTTTCTCTTGTACAGCCAACTGCTGCTGTTCTAGAATGCCTACGCTTGGTTTATGAATGTAGAAAAAGGAGAAATATGATACTATGAACTATCTTAATGGAAGTCATGCTATATTTAAGATCATTTGTCTAATTAATAAGACTTGTTTAAAGACTTTTAAAAATTATTCTAGTCCTGCCTTCAAGATGTCTTCCTACTTTTTTGATCTTGTTATCTTCCTAGGATTTTTCTAAAGCGTTTTTCTTTCTTCCATTCTCCTTAGGAGTACATAACAATCTTGGAGTCCATGGGACCCACTTTTAATAGTTGGGCTGTATTTTTAACACCGCACAGTTAGACATGGAACAAGCCACTCTTTTCTTTATGATTTTTCAGCCAGCTCTGGGTCCTCCTTATGAKGTTTGTTTGGGAAGACTGTCAGTTTCTGAGAGCTTCATAAGGCTACGGTAGAAGTATTGGGGATGAGGTCATGTATCTATTGCTTCCTTTTATGTCATGGTCAAAAAAAAAAAAAAGAAGCAAGATTGATGTGATTTATTCCAGCTGAGCTTCGTTTGTCTTTCTTACAGTATAGATGTTTTGGTGCTTATAAATTACGTTATTTTAGATTTTTTAAATGAAGTTTTTCTTTTATTTGTATTTGAGCTTCATCTCTAATGGGCTTTTTAAAAAATAAGTGATGTGCCTGCCCTTCTGACTTCCTGAGACTGAAACAAAAGATAGGAATTAAATGTTTCAATTTTTTTTTTTTTTTTTTTGTAGTATTTGTTTGTAGTCCAGTTTAGGAAATAAGACCAGTTGTTTACAGATTTTTTTTTTTTTTTTTAGGGACTTGTATGGTTTTCAAGTTGTAACTCATTCTTGAGTCAACCCCATTCTTGCTTTCACATGACCCTCCCAGCACTTTATGCTCATTCTTGGGTGAAGTGACCCGAAGTTCTCCAAACCCATCCCAAATCTCATGTATGCCTTGTTCCAGCTTTTGTAAGGGGCTGTAGTGATCCAGCCATGGCAGCTGGTGCCTTTCCATCTCTTCTCTCTCATGTTTGTCTCTGAAGTTGTTGAGAATTGGTTAAATTGGAATTTTAGGGCTTTGTCTTGTGGTTCTGTTACGAGAAAGAACCCAAATTGGAGCCTTCCAGTGTGAGTAAAGTCATTGTCATTTATTCTAGGATAGCATCTTACTTCATTGTGCTGGCTATAGCATGAGCTTGAAATTATTCACTTGGACTGTTTCTTTCTTTTTATTTAACCATTGATTATTTACTGTTCATGTTCTGAATTCCTGAGGCTTCATGCCTTTTGCTAAAGGGATAGAATTCCTGCCTCAAGAGAGAAAAGAAACCTGCTGTCTGTATTTGAAAACTAGTAGTTCTGAAAAGCAAATTCCTGCTTTTAAGAAGTATGCTGAATTATAATGATTTGTTCAAGACTGACCAGGGGCTGGTTTATGRTCTAAATCGTGTCCCCAGCAAGGGTACAAGGGAATGGGGTGAAGTGGCCAGAGCAGAAAATCARCGTGTCCTTTGTCACTTCACCCTTCCTGTTCGGTAGGGTGGGCGGCAGCGGCCTTTTACCCCGAGTGCTTCCCTTGCTGCACTGCTTGTGGCTGCGAGGCTGGGCCAGGAGCAGCCTTCTCAGGGCTGTGGGGCAGACTGCTGGTCACYTCTGAGCTGCCATGGGATGTGGCCTCCTGCAAACAGAGGTTTGGGGGCTGCAGGGAGCTGCTGACTCCGGGGCAGAGCTGCTGGGCAAGGCAGGTAGCCTGTGGCCCATGATCAAGTGTGGGTGGCCTACGGTAACACTAGCCCCTAACCAGGCAGCTGGTGCGAGTGGCTAAAAGTTGATCTGTGAAAAAGGTTGATTATCGCTGAGTTAAATCTGTGTTGTATTTTCCTCGTACTCTTATTTGAACTCTTTGCTTTACCCTCTTCTAGGGAACCTTGAGTAAATCTGAGTGGGAAGCAACAAGTAAGTATTGTTTTGAAAACTCRGCGCTGACTGAATTGTGGGGATGAGAACTGTGTAAAATGTTAATTCTTAAAAAATAAATAGGCTGTAAATTCTAAATAAAATGAAATATGTATGCTATTCAAATGCCTAAGTATGCATTTAGTGTGCTTATTTCAAGGATTTGGGGGAAATGCATAAAAGTTTTTCCAGCTTGCAAACCTTTAGTATAACTGTAGTTATACTGTTTGTGGAAACATTGCTTAGAATGCAGGAGAAAGGGTTGCCAAATTAAAGTATCATTTTACCAGAACCAAAGGATTTAGTGTAATACTTCAGTACTTTGGTTTGRTAAACTTGGGTATTATATGATTACCACTCAGCTGGAAAGCAGCTTCATTTGAGCTGTATGTTCTCCAAAAAATATAAACCTGTACTGGRGAGAGATGATTTGAAGCTTTGCTCATTGTCTGCTCTGATAAATACACATCAGGAAGAAGCAGTTGAAGTGTAGCTAGTAGAAAGGTATTTAGTAGTTATTTATTATTATTAAAACTCAGTGCTTCAGGCAGTGGAAAGGACTTGGTATTTTTAAATACAGTTTGAATGCTATGAGCAGATGTGTTATGGAAAGCTTTTGACATTAGAATTTTCAACTCTAATAAAACACAGATGTTTCCCATGGAAATGATTACTAGCTTCTGTGTAACTATGTCCAACCAGGATTTGCATTTTTATGGATAAGTTATACCAGAGCTAGCAATTTTAAACAAGGGAACAATAATCCTGTTTGGTTTGTGATTATTCTATTTTTGGAAGTATTTTAAATTCCTGGAATAGAAAACTATTAGCTGTTTTTTTGAGAAGTGTGGACTATACAGGTAGACATTAATTCTGACAGTGTAAAAATGTTACATAAATCATGAATCTAGCTGAAAGAACCTTTTTATATCTTTAAAAGATACATGATTACTGTATTTCTAAAGTGGTCTCTTTGCAGAGAGATCTGGACTACGGAGCTTCTGATGGTTAGGACCCAGCTTTTGTCCATTAAATAGAACCTTCCCTTGCTTTCTTCTTGAAGAATGTTTCTAGGCATCAGACTTGTCTGGATGGATTTTCYATGTAGCTATGACACCTCATCCTCTAAAACAAAAATTCAGCTGGAAACCTGTCAAACTGGTCTCATGGTCTCTTAAACTTAAACTAAATGTAACTCTGTGCTATGAAACATGAGAACCTCTGATTCAGCTCTGTTTCTGTGGCAAGTGCTTGTCTCCCAGGGATTCTGGTGTAGACTGTTTGAGTACCCATTTCTAGACTGATGAATACCTTGGGCTTGGAAAACCAGCCAACCAAACAAGAAACACACTATATAGTGTTTGTAAATATTTCTTCTTTGTCCTCTCTTGAAAAGAGAAAGAAATCTTAACTTTGTTCGCTGTAYGAGTAAAAATGGAGTTGATCATTCCAAATCTAATTATCCTTTAATTCATGTATAAAGGAGTCTTCAACTTAAAATTGTGTATGACCTTTTATGCACCAGKGAATGTTAATTATGAATGTTAATTATATATGTTAATTATATATAGAATGGCATAGTTAAGATTGCATGATAATTTTTGAATTGCAGTTACATTTCAGTAGTGCCATTAACTCAGGTTAGTGTTATAGTGTTACATTAACCATATTARCAGTGTTTAAAATATTTTACTTTTACACATGGCTAGCCCCATCTTGCAAATATGCCTACAGACAGAATTGCAAATATATTCAAATTGAGTCAGTGTTACAGGCCTCTTCCATGACTTTGTATGCTAGAATTACTGATTAGAACCATAGTAAATTTTATTATTTTGGTCATCTACTAATAGGTTATTTGGATAAAATATCAACCTGTTCTCATTTTGTTCTCCATGAATTTCTCATTCATGAGGAAAACCCAGATGACTGGCAGAGGAAACTGAAAAAAACTCTCATTTTCTCTTTTAGGTATTTACTTGGTGTTTGCCTTTGAGAAACAACTGTGAAACGTCATATACTGGATTCAACAAGAGGAGATCATATCCATGTGCAAGTTGGAATGGTCTAAAATCCATTGTGGCAACTATTTTTTTATTTTTATTTTTTAATTATCAGAAGTGTGCAGGGCACTACCAAAAAAAAAACCGAGAGCAAGCTCATGATTCTGAGTTACATTTGCCTGTCTGTGACAGATTGACTTGTGTGTGTATATATAAGAAAGATTAAAACCCAGTCTTTTTAAACATTTGTAAGCAGTCTGCATGCCCTCAAAAGTCATGTTTGAACTTAACACAGCTTTATGTTCTAAACACATGTGTTGTTTGTGTGTTGGTGGTTACAGGCCTGATCCTGCACTTCCGGAAGTTGATGGAAAATGACTGTGGCTTTTGGTGGTGCAGAATGAGGGCCTAAAGACTGTGCTGCAAAGCTCAGCCAGTTCACGCTGGGGTATATTCAGACACGAAGGGTACATCTACATTGCATGTAAGGCTAAATGGCAAATACCACCAGAGTGTATTTGAATACCTCTGTGCTGTGCTCTGGCCTGCAGTGTAAATTTACCTTATTCCAGTGCTATTCCAGGTATAATTTACATAGTAAAGTTCCATGCTATTCTTGGGTTTTTTTTTTTTTTGTGCTTGCTGATATGTAGTGTCACTTTGTGGTGCTTTCAAGATTAAATTGGTTTGTTCTGTACAAAACTGCTGTGAAATAGCTGAATTTCTGTAGGTTTAAAACTCCAAGTCATTCTTCCGACTGTGCAGTAATCAATCACAAATGCTGAGACTTTGTTACATTAAAGTGTCACGACTCTTGTGGTTTTAATGTTCCTGTTGTTCATAGTTTACTGCTGACACTTTCTAGATTGATCTTTTTCCCAATACTGACATGTTTTCCACTTGTTTCACAAAGGTTTTTGTCATRAAAGATGAGCTCCACGTGGCGGTGAGGTCCTCGCTGCAGCCCATAAGGCTTTAGGAATGTGCTTGGATTAATGCATCATGAACTAAGAGAGGAACCTGTATGACACTTGACAAGTCATCATCCTGAGATCCATGAGAGGATATTGGCAGTTCACTCAGGAGGGAGGGATGAGCACGATTGCCCCTACTTGCACGCAGCCCTGTGCCTGTGGAGAGCGACCCCCAAATTTCAACCAACAGTATTTACCTGGGGCATTCTCTYCTCATGTTAGTAAGTAATATTGTAACCAACCTACTGCTTAAGTCTCCTAAATCTGGGACAGGTGATCCCTGTATGATATTTGTTCTGCTTTCAACGTGCCTGTGTGGGCATGGGTGCTTTCTTCAGGTCTTCCCTCCACCCAGTTTGCTAAAAGTAGTTTTGTGCTGCTGTTGCTTAGTGTAGTTTCCATACAGGTGAAATGATAGAACGTTGATGGTGTGTGAGCATTTTGCAAAGCTTTAGTAAATCCAGGGTAATAAACCTAGGTTTAATAAACCTTTTCTGTTAGTATTAAGCATTCAGAATTTTTGAGCTTGTATTTGGATAAGTTTCCTCATCTAATCAGATCATGAATCTTGCGGGTTTTTTTTTTTTCCAATAAAAGGTCATCTGTGATCTGTAAACTTCACCAGGGCAGTGTAATCGGTTAATATTGCTATTGAAATTAAAAAAAAAAAAAAACCTCTTTCAGGGCAGCTAAAAAATTACTTACAAAGCTAGCTGGAAAAGGCCAGTGCTTTACGAGTGCTGAAATATTTCATTGAACTTCAATGTATGCATCAAAGCCTTTATTTTTCAATTTTTTTCTAAGAAATCATARTAATAGAAGCAGAGGGGTAAGTAGAGTGAAGTGTCTTGCTGCTTTTAGGCAAGTTTCAGTAGTTCCTGATGTCAGAGTACCTGTTTTCCAAGTAAAATGGAATGACTTCCCAAAGAAACAGGAGCACAGCGAGCCGCGTTCCTATGGACTGATGGTGGAGAAAGGGGAAGAGCGGGAGGGCCAGGGCCTCTCATTTAGGTGATTTTTGCAGCAGAATGAGTTGAGGGAAACCTTTGAAATACGAAAGGATGGAGAGCAATGCATGAAGGGTGCTGCAGCTTGAAGAAGCGGTTCAAATTCCCTTTGTATAAAATTAGAAAGGGCGACTTTGGTCCAGTTTGCCAGTTGTTGTCTAGATACCGTGACYTGCTTATTTGGAAAGAGGAGCTAAGAGGATCTCTAACCTTTTTTCTCTAAATCAGATGAGGGGAGCTGTGGTGAAACCCAGTTGCTCAGCATGTAGTTAAGGGGGAGAGAGAATATAGCTGAAAAATGGTTTGCACTTAAAACTTTATATAAAACTTTAAATAGGGTCCCTRCCTCAGGGAAAAAATCAACTCTCCATGAAAGTGGTGTGTGAAATCCTGTCCTAACTAACTGCTTGGTATGTTCAAGAGAATGGCGTCTCGAATATCGTTAGGCAAGATGCTCCTCTCGCAGCCTTATGACTTTGGCAGTAAGTGGAATTAAGCAAGCGGCAGAAGTGGATTAATTATCAACCTCTTGATTACCATGCAGATGTTGAACTTGAATTTCTTCTGAAAGCTTTGCTTTTTGACGTAAGGAGGGAGGTCTTGAGCTTGTTCATCAAACAGGCATGTGTCTTGCACTGACAATTTGCCCTAACTTTTTTTTTTCTCCTCCTATCTGCCTATACTTTTAAAAGAGGCCATTCTGTATTTTATTCTGTGATCTTTTAGTTGAGTTTATCAGTGTGCTTGCCCTATCAATCTATAGTATGGGAAATTTTTCCTTATGAGGCTTAGAAAATTCTTCAGCCTCACAGCAAAACTCATGAAATTGAACCTTGCATTTGTCAGCAAGTGTATTGGACTTGGGTTTTGGTACCATGGCGTGGTTTTGATACACGTGCTTTAGTGAACCACGCACTAGTGTGGTAGAAAGTGCAGTGGAGGACCTAAGCAAATGTTGTTTTGTAGTTAAATTTTAAGGAAGTGTTTAYGGAGGCTTGTTGTCTGGTAGAATGCACTTGAGTAATGTAAGGTTAGGCTTACATGAGATCTTACATGTTTTTCTGTTACAATATTTGAATAGTTTCATTTACATAATGAACATTTTAGTTCTTTGAAACAAAGTGCTTTCCTTTTGAGTCATATCCTAKTTAATAAAGCATAATCTCATCAAAAATTTATTTTTATTAAAAAGAATATAGGGTGTCTTATAGTTGCTAAACTGCGTTTGTAAAGACTTGGAAAAGAATGAATTAGGGGAACATTAAGATGGGTAGCAATACATTTAAGACATCTATAAAGTAATCAGAGAGTTGATAATGAATCCACTTTTGCAACTCATTTATTGCTAAAGTAATAAGCCTTTTTTTTTCTTTTTTTTGTGGAGGGGGGCATGGAATATTTACCTAATACCAAACAGGATTCATAGTTGCCTGGAGACCTGAGTTCCCCAGATGAGAGCCTCTACCTSTAAGAAAGTGAGGAAGCAAACATCTGTATTGCTATTTATGGATGTAAAAATTGTCCTGATTTTTCAGGCATGTCAAGCAGAAAAATCAGGTCATTTAAGTTCAAAAAAAAAAAAAAAAAATGGAGACAACAATGAGGGTTTTTTGAACAAAGCCTCATTTGAGATTTTTTWAAAAGCCTTAGAAAATCTGAATCTTTTTGTTGATGACACTATAAATACTTTGTGCTGGACTTAACCAGTTATCCASTAGTTCATCTTTTTGCACCTCCAGTGTGTAGCATTTTTGGCTCATGTTCTTGTGCTGGTGGGATGGCTTTTCCTCCGACTCTCTCRCTGCGAGGTTCCTTTTGGACTGTGTGTCACCACCAGGTTTGCCCTGCTGCCCTAAGTGTCTCTGCCAGTTAGAGAGCAGATGCAAGGCCTCCAAACAGAACTGATAGGCTTGATAAAACAGCCTTTTGCTAGGTTAAAGCTTTTCTGATGTTGCATAAATCCTGTTTTGGTGGAAGCTGACATTCCTTCGTTTTAATAAAACTGGTTCTCAAAACTGTGGGTTTTGTTTTCCTTTAATGTGTCTTCAAGCAACTGAAGTTCCCTTTGAGGGTAACGTGTTTGAATGTATAAAGGCTGATTGATCTGCACTAGTAGTAGCTGAAGCTAAAATTTGAACAGCCACTTCCTAAGAGTCACACTGTATTCTTTCCAGTCTTGCAGCCCTGCTGAAGTTCAGGCAAGCAGGATCTGATACCCTGTGATAGAAGCATGTGCTTTTGGTCATGTCTAGCAGGAGTTACTTTGCAAAGGTATGAATATAAATTGTGATCAAACTGGAAATATGCTGCTCTTTTACAAAAGAAGATGTCCACAAGTTCCAGAGCAGCAAAGGTTTAATTCTTAGATCAATACTTCCCCACTTTTACACAGAAGTGCATGAGATAGTAAACACAGTCTTGGTTTGTATATAAAAAGCAGTTTTAGAATCTCTAATTTTTATACTTTTAAGAAATGTGTCTACAAATAATTTTCCAGACACAGAGCTGTTCTGATTTCTTTGGCCAAGGCAGCCCGTTTCTTAAATTCCCATGCTTCTGACACCTGTTAGTGTATAGCTCTGCGTCAAGGACCTGGAACTGAAGCCTCTCTCTTCGTAGAAGCTTTGAACAAGCTCAGCAAGAAGTGATAATTGTAAGGTAGGAAATTGTTAGCTTCCTTGTTTAATTGACTCTTCTATGAATTATGCATTTTTTGTTCAGCTCCCTCCTGAGAACAATCTTCAGAAAAGATTGTGTTGCCTAAGGAACCTGCCTAACCTTGCTGCACCTTGAATGTAATGGTATGGATTCCCCCTCTGAAACTGGGGGACTGGACATGGTCTGTTCCCACCTTAGGCTTTTAGTTAAGAGTGTGGAGCCTTTAACTATCATWACCTGATTACGTAATATTCAACCCACTTAAGGTGATACTTGTGTAAAAAGGAACACATTCCAAAAGAAAGACAGTCCCAAGGCTACCTGGAAGACATAGGTGTCCATGATTGATTTTGTCACTTTGCTTGTAGGTTATAACACTTACATGTGGTGTGGTGACATTTGCATGCCAGATGCTGACCAAACATGGAAAATAAACAGTTTCTGCTCTGAAGAGAAGTCTTTTAAGTCAAAGACTTTTTTTTTTTTTTTTTTTTAAATTTAAGTTATCCTGTTTGGATTGACCTTTGCCTTTGATAAGACAATGAGTCTGTGCTTGAATAGAGGTGAACTGAGGTTTTATGTAAATTTTATTCACAATTCTTAGCGAGGCAGCAATATTTTATATTATGCTGCTATTTAAGAACATAAAAAATGAATGTGTCATAAAAGTGATGCTTCATGTAATTGTTGCCACTACATAACCACATCATTACCCAASAGCCTAATATGAGAGGAAAAAAAACATGTGCAATAGCCCTCAAGAGCAGGATTTGAAATACACGAGAGCAGCAGCTGTTAACCCAACATCTGAGGCAGAAGGATGAGCAGGAGGCAAATCCTGCAAGTGGCTGAGGAAGAGCAGAATTTCAAGTCTCCAGAGCTGCATCTCTAACATGGTGGATTGAAGGGCGTCTTCACTTCTGCACTGAATAGGCAAGACTGTGYGCTCGGTCAGAGCTCTGTAGCAGCCAACAGTGCACTGCTGAGATGCAGTGTGTGYTGGTACCGTTTTGTACACTAAAGTCGTGTATGTCTTTTTTGTTATTCCTTTGTTTTTGAGAGTATTTACTAGAGCCCTTATTAGAGAGTAATTCTAATTTCTATGGTCCTACCTTAATGGGTGGAATAGGCTGTCTGTGTGCAGAAGATAACTGAGTAAGTGCATGTTATTTACATTCACTTGGACATCTTCAAAATATTTTTCTTGTTCATGCCATGTTTTCATCCCAGTTAGAATACAAAGACTAAAAAAAAAATGTTATTCTAGGAAATTAATTCACTGAGGGAAACAGGGATACTGTATTACTAAGTGGTAGTGCAGCTTTTGAAAACAGGGACAAAAAGAAAAATTCAGATTTTATGTCTTTCCTTTTCAGAGGTTTCTGATGACTCCTGAGATAAATGGAAACTAAATGTACATTTTGGCAGCCTTCCTGGGGGTTTTCAGATGCATTCTGCAGTCCTCTCCAGGAGAG